GATCACATGGTGGTAGTACAAAGATGATGTGGTGATGGTTTGAGGATGATATGGTATGATATGAAGTTCACATGGTGGTAGTACAAAGATGATGTGGTGATGGTTTGAGGATTATATGGTATGCTATGAGGATCACATGGTGGTAGTACAAAGATGATGTGGTGATGGTTTGAGGATTATATGGTATGATATGAGGATCACATGGTGGTAGTACAAAGATGGTATAAAGATGATAACAAGATGTTAAGGACATAATATGCACTTGGAATAAAATGATAGAGAAATTGATAACAGAAAGTTTGAGGGATGGTACTTTATACTTAGAACAATTGTACCTTTCTTGTTCATAATGACTTCTTTAATGGTTTTGATTGAAGTTTCCAAAGCTTTTAAACCTTCTTCTCAATTCATTGTTGTCGTTTTGACAACATAGGTACGTGGTGAAATACGATTTATCTTAAAGAAAAAGACAATTTATTCGTAAATAATCGCTGTGCTCTGTACAATCTTAACTTTAATTTTACAAACAAAATTTCCTAAACATACATACAAGAACATACAGAAAATAAACGTTTGAACATATTTATTCATACTTGACACAAACCTTATGAGATCAAGCACAGAATGAATGTATTGCTTCTACTTTTTCTTCGTTTGGTTCAGTTTTTTTACGTTAACATTTCCAAGTTTAACACAAATAACTAAAATACTCCTCAAAATGGCGGCAAAAATTGTTGTCATAAAACATGAACAACGAAATGCCACAGAGTGGATAACGGTTTATTTACAATAAACAGAGAAAGACAAAGAAAATAAACTCAAAGTTTCGAAATTTCAAAATATTCATGCTCGCTTGCGTCAAAAGTTCACAAAGATGGCAAAAAGTTCATATTACATCTAATTTTTAAGATCGGAAGTTAACGGATTAATTCGGACATTTTCGGAAAACCTTTGAAATTTTTTGAAAACTCTCGGAAATATTCGGAAAACATCGGATTATCTTAAAATCGTCGTTGTTTTGAAAGAACTGACGAGCTATGAAGATTTTCTTTTCATTGAACTATGATTTATCTATACATTCTTTATGAAAATGATGAAAATACAAAAATGCATAATACTTAGAAAAGTTCACAAAAAGTTCACAAACTTTTAATGTTCATGAAATGTTCATGAAGAGAGCACAAAGTTCACAAATCTGTGAATTTTGTTCACGATCTGGCAGCACTGAGTCTAGCACATTGCTAAAAGAGTATTTAACATAACATTTCTTGACTAAAAGAAATATAACTGCATTTATAATAAGCAGAGAATGTAGACTCCACAATTGTAAAGTTATCTGAAAGTTAAATTTTTAATTATAAATTTAAAGGCATGGTAGTAGGATTCACAAGAACATTTCAACCCTCTGACCTTTGTTGGCTTGCCAGCATAATGAGAAGAACTGACAAAATAAACACAAAGTAGTTAGCTAGGCTCTTGTTGATGAATGATCAAGGTTAAAAATATGTTTTAAAAGCACAATTGAAATAAACTGAATATATAAAACAAACTTTTTTATTACAGACATGAAAACTTATGCCATCATCAGTGCAAATGAATATGTTACAAAATGTGATACTTAAATATACAAATAGGGATAAACGTCTTACAGTTAATTGAAATGAGGATAGTAAAACTATAAAACATTTAAGGTGAAGGGTTATTTCTAAATGTAAAGGTTCTAATACATTGGGCCAAAGTCAATTTAAAGTTCTTTTGGTATATAAATTAACAATTGAATTCTTCAATACGAGTCTCTTGTATGGGATAATCTCTAGTACCAAGGTTCTAATATATTGGGCCAGAGTCATTTTAAAGTTCTTCAGGTCATTTGATGAGCTTTAAGAAAAATCACTCCTAAAATTGATGATGGATGCCCAATTTCCTTGGCCAATTCTTGTTTCTTTATGCAAATTTGTTCAACACCTTGAGATAATGTGTTATTTTCAACAGAACCATTTATAGAAACAGGACCTCTGATGTAATCACATTGTCTTATGTGTGAGAACAAATTCTTGGGTAAATTACCAATACCATGGCTACTTGAGTGAAAATACTCAACAATTAATTTCCAATCTTCTTCTTTCTCAGCACTGGATAAATCAATTCCTTTAAACTTGCTCAGTTTTTGAGGACTCACATCAAACATGATAATAGCTGGATGTGTACTGCTCAATCCATATTGCTCTAATGAGAACTTTATGCTATTTACCATGTAGAACCCTTCTCCATCAGAGAAGTCTGATTTGTCTTGACCAAAACCGAGCTCAATTCTGTCTTCTAGAATATCAACAGCACTTTTGTGATCAGTAGAATGGAAATATACTTTTGTCTCAGGATTATTTTCATTTAGTTTAGAAACTATTGATCCAACATGGTGTAGAGCATCTTCTTTGATTCAACATTGATCATATTTATAGGATGATTATGTCTTCCTCTTCATCTAAACGTGGGATATTCACAGTAAACCATTCATTTTGATTATCATTTTGAAAGGAAATCAAGACTTGATCATTTAAGAAGATATCATACTTAAAATGATTTTCAATGTAAGTTTCCACCCAAGATAAAATTGGTTTGTGATTCGATCTGGCATGCTGGTTATCCATTTAGCAATAAATTTAGATCGATGCTTTGTAAAACCAATCTTGCACAAGATTTTAGCAACCTTTTTACTATCTCTGAGATTTTCTATGCTGTCGTCTTCCTCAAACTCCTTTAAGAATCTTAGCAAATTTTCCTTTTCATTCCAGTGCTCTCTCATGTGAGGACTTAGTTTGGAAAGCCTGAAAGCAAACTCAACTTTCAAACCAAGCACTGAGCACAGAATATCTTCTGGGGTGATATTAAAGTCAAAGAGATCATTTCTCTCAGGATGGTTTAGATTGGAAATGGTACTTTTTATATTTTTCACAGCATTTCTAAGATTTTCAATATTCTCATCATCTCTTATTTCTTGCTTGATGCCACAACAATTGTTGTAGATAAGATTTGTTTCATTGAGAAGCTTGGTTAAATTGTTGAGATGTACTTTTAGATAAATCAATTGTTCTATCTCTTCATAAGAGAGTTTACCTTTATCAGACAATAATGTCTTTACCTTGTCCAACAAGATACAACAAAATACAAGACACTGATGAAGAACACAAAATGAACGAATTAAGTGGCGGTCAGTTCTGCCAGCACTTTTTTCTATATCTAGCTTTATGCAAAAGATACTTAATTCGACTTGCCATCCGCTAAGAATAGTCACAAATTTCTCAACATCTTCATTGTTTTTAGCAGTTCGCTTTTCCTTGATTTTACCAATCTTTGATGTGAAATGCTTATCAACGCGAAGGATAGGATAATGTTTATGCATGACTGCCAATGATTGCATATTTATTCATACTAAGAACGAAGAGCGGACAAAACATAATCAAGTCACACTTAAACATTTGACACAAATCTATGTTTAAAGTTCTTACCAAAAACTTACAAAATTATCTTAAACTTTAGATATAAAACAATACTTCCCAATAACAATAAGAACAGCAGAATTTTCAAGCTAAATATAAATTCATACATCATCGTCATGTTACCGTAAGGCAACGAAATTATAAAACTCGCCTCTGAAAGTTTACTTATAAAAATCAAAAAGCCTAAAACATAAGGGATAAATTCTTTCAAGGAAATAGCACATTCATATATAACTTAGTATTTTACGATAAGAAATTTTCTCTTCACGGAAGTTAGGGCACGAAGAGGATTTAAGAATTAATGTATTTCTGGCATTTAAGTATTTTAAGTTCACTAAAAACCTTTTTCACAAATTAGCACGACTTTAACATAAACTAAACGTTTAACTGCGTACAGACATAATATAAAATAGAATCAAAATATAACAACAAGACAAAAACGCTAGTTTCGATTTTAAGTACTAACGTAACGACGAACATTGGCAATACTTAAAGACTGATGACACTTAAGAAATACATTTAAGCTCACTTACGTGTCATGAAAAACAAGAAATTGTCCCCATTATTCACCATCCATACGACACTAAAACAGTACTTTAGTTCAGTACTCGTCCGATAAGTTACAAAATTGCTACTATATTTAGTAGCAATTTTGCTAATAAACTAACAAGTAGCTAATAAACAAAATACGGGGGAAAGAATGATATTAATGTTATATTGATCCGCGAGGAATTGTGGGGTAGATGCGTTTGTTTGGTCACCATTGGGTAATTTATTAGTATGGTAATTTCCAAAAATGTAAATGAAATAATGTAATAATTTCTACCCCGTATTTAAGATTGAAAGAAATCGAACTTTTAAACCGAAAAGGCACAAAGATTAATTTAATTTTAAAAAGTACGCAGTATCGTTTGATAAGTGTTGTTAATCGCTTTTTGGTGACTTTAGAAAAATACGCTATTTATGGAAGTTTGAATATCGTGTGGTGTTAGTATCGTTGTAGGAAAGTTCCTGTATGTTGTTGTCTGACGATTTAATTGGGTGTTTTCTGTTTTACGTTTTGATAATTTTGTCTAAAAAATGTCGAGGAAATGAGTTGCGTTTCAATTTAGCTGGTAGATATAGGTACTCAATGGTAGTAAATCATTCGGCTGGTGTAAGTAAGATTTTTGAAATGTAGACTTTAGCGAGTTTACTTTAGTGTTGTGAAAACATTACCAGACGAAATCGAAAAATACGAGCCGGTCGATATTAGGGAGCTTTAGCAAGAGTACGACTACAACAACGAGTACGAAGTTTGACCGTGTAAGAGAATGGCACGAGGAAGTTTGTTGTCGTTGTCGCTTCTTCAAAATTTAGTTTTAACAATAAACAACAGAACGAGCCTTTTTATTGTGTAAAACACCGACGTTTGAAAAGCAGCTACGGCTCCATTTGTCAATAATGATATAAACTAAGCGGTAATACTGATTTTGCGAGAACATAGGACTCTTTAGACTGATATTGTATACGTTGAACTTTATTTCTTGACATCATGCTCAACGTCATCCAATAATTGTTTAAAATTTGTTTACATCAATATTTTACAATTCAGCTTTTGCAATGGTAAATAATGACTATAAACAAAATCAATATGTCCTACGAGTTACGTTATAAAGTGTGATACGATTGTTTTCATGGAGAATACAACTCCGTACAATTTCAAACTGTTTATTACTGTACTAACTTCCCTTTCTTGTTTTCTTGCGTCCCTTACAGCCAATTTGCTACGAATCAGCCTTTATAAAGACTGCACCCACCAAAAATGGGGAACCACTCATTGCCTCAGCCATTTTGTGTTTCTTTACACAAACCTGCAGAATATCTTCCCTTGGGTCATCTGCTGAACGACCATCACTTGTAATTGGACTTTGATATAATCGCACCTCTCTAATTCCGAAAATAGTTTCCTGCTCACAGAAACTTTCCTTCCAGCCTTAAAGAATTGAGTAACTGTAACAAAGTCTCGTCTATTGCGATTATCACATAAATACAATTCTTGGAAACCTTTCAAATTATTTGGGCGTAAACAAAAAATGAGAAGAGCTGGTTTTGGTTTTTTAGAATATTGCGTTAACGAGTATTCATAATCATTTGCCATGTAGAAGCCATCTCTATGCGACAAGTCGCCTTTTTCACGACCTTTACTTAATTCAATACCATTCTTAAGAATCTTCTGAGCAGACGAATGATCAGTGCCATGGAAATATAACTCAGTATTTTCGTCTTCGTTTTTCTTCGATTCTTCAACCTCGATGATACCTCTAATTGCTTCATCTTTGTTACTTGCATTAAAAATCTTTACTTCTTGATTAGTTTGGTCCCCTGCATCATTAAAACGTGAAAAATTCTGCGTAAACCAACCGTTTAGGTAGTTTTCATTGTAAGGAAAAAGAGGAAGGGCGTTATTCGTAAATATAGTACAGTTGAAAAATTTCTTAACGTAGGTTCTAAGTAAAACTGTTATTGATTGGTCATCAAGATGAGACAGATTAACCGATAGTGTATTTTCTCCTTCACTTTTTAAGATCTCTTTTTCAACCAACTCATTCGACATGTAAAGCAAGCTCACAATATCGTACATATCAGTTCTAACGAAAGGACTTCGCTCAGGTCTATTTTGTAGCATAGAAATGATCGTTTGGTTGTATTGTGGTACAGCATTATTCTTTTGTGGATAAATGGTGTAGACATCTCTCAATATTGATTTTGATAAACACGGAGACATTCTAAAGAACATCATAGATACTCTTACAAAAACAACATCAATTAAAAGCATTTCAGAAAATGAATTACATAATTAGAAACATTTCAAATATTTAAAGCGAAAACTTTGATACGTTCACAATGGCTACAGTTGTAAACGTTTATTTATTTGCATTAAAATTCCTTCAAAGCTTATGAAGAAATCGCTTTGACGGTTTCACGACATTGAATCTAGCGGACAAATTTATAGTTTTAGTGGTTTGCATATTATTATACAAACATGACACTTTCAATGCGAAGCTAGTATGCAGTTGATTTCATGTTTTTATTTTTAGCAACGTTGGCAATCATCGAACAGATTTGCAAATTTGATCGGGAACTTTTGAGAAACATAAGCACTTTTGAACAAACTTGAAAGTATTACGCGAAAAGGTTGAGATAAATCGAATGTAACATGCTCCAATGCACCACAGTTATGAGGAAGAGATGAACACTTGTGCTATGTGGCTACATCTTTGATAATCAAATACCAAAGAATGAGTTATTACCGTCAACAAATTTATAGTGTATGATAATCAAGCTAGAAGGTAATTTCTGATCCATATTTAATCACGACTTTGAAATTTTTAAAACGATAAATTTACACTAAATTGTTTGCACTCAAGAGAACTTTAAATTCCTTTGTCATTAAAGTGCGCAATAGATTTGTTACAATGAAGGCAAAAGACCAATACATACTTCAAAACTTATCACACGATTCTCACTTAAGCGTGACTTAAATATTATAAAACATGTTTTGATGTTTAAAGTGTTCAGGAAATTGACGCCTCCTGGTTATAACTGGTTTAAATATTTTCATGTTTCTCATAAGTACATGTTTGTTCGTTTATGTTTCGACACGGCGCATGAAACCGTTCAAAAAAATAGATATTTGAAGCTATTGACGACAGCCTAGCACAATTTCCTTTGTATGATGAAAATTGTTACACTTATACCCAAATGCATTGAACATAGTTGCATTTACATATAAATATTTCTTTGGTTTCGCTTTTATTATTGGAACGACAATGTATACTGACGTCGTATTCATCAAAATCTACAAAACTCCATTCTAACGTTAACTAAGAATGTTTACTTACTTTACAGAAGGATAACAGCTGGTATTTGGCAATTTTTATATATCTACGAACTGACGAGCTTCGATGTACAACGTACTTTTCACCAAGAAATGACCAGAACGCATCTCTCTGTCGGTACCAGACCTCTGACGTAGTTTTTCCCGCTAATTCCGATAATTACCATAGATCCACGAGGCAAAGATTTGCCGTGCTTCCTAGAGTATCCCATCAAGTCAAATAGAAATGTTAGTTAGCATAATAAAATATAATAATGACCTCTTTCCTGAATAAGTTTAAATCATTTTAAGATTTTTACATTTCTGATCTCTATGAAGGCTTATTTTTGTTAAAACTGATAATTTTATGTCAACAGACACAATAGAAAAACAGTTGTCCAATTATATGTAATGCATATTAAAGAGCATTTCATATAACCAATCAAAAACCATAAAACATTTTGTATGAAACATGTTTAGCTCCTAAGTTAAACATAAAGTACTACTTGAATAAGAACATGACAAACTCTGCTTGTTTTATTCTTTTCTCTGATGCTGCAAAAAACAGCAGCTCATTAAACATACGTCAGTTGTATGATTTCACATCTTTGATACATCATACAGGTGTGCAAAATGTCCAATGGACTCGAGTGATGTCCTTCTGATAATAGTTACACAGTCAGAGAAAGCAAACATGAGACAGTCATTGTGTAAATGGTGTGAACACATGCTTTGTTATTTTATTTTGTTTTGGAGACACATAACTTTTCTTCAATATGCAAAAAACATCATTATGATATCACAATGCATAATTAGCTTTAGGAAAAACAAATTTTTGCTTACAGTTAACATAAATTATTGCCAATGTCACAGGGTCCTAATATTATTGATTTCAATGCATTGGGATGGTGTCATTGTAATTTTCAAATAAACGACTAATGATTGAATATGTCCGTCTTAATACAGCATGGGGTACTTAGGGAAATGGTAACAGGATGATATGAGGATAGTAGAGGCACCAGGGGATGTCATTTTAGTGATACAATATACTTTTCATAGAAATATAAACCAAACACTTACAGCTTGTTGTAAAACAAATGTTCCTTTCTTGTTCATAATGACTTCTTCAATGGCTTTGATAGATGTTTCCAAAGCTTTCAAACCTTTTTCTCGATTCATTGTTGTTGTCATGACAACATAGGTTGGTGGTGAAATACGATTTATCTTAAAGAAGAAAACAGTTTACAATCATACAGTGAAATTTTCAAAAGATTATTTATCATTGTATGGTATTTAGGCCTGGCAGAGCTATTGTAAGATATAATTACATTGCTGTGCACATTTGGAACATCTATAAATAATTAAATCTTGTTTTCGTGAACATCAAAATGTCCATCCTCATTGTGTTTATGTAGCAATATTGCAATTTGATGCATTTCAATGTGAATGATCTGTCATATACAGTGGTGTGAAACAAAGCTTCATACTTTTCTTGGTTCTTAAGGTTCATTTTCCTTGACAACTCATTTATTGACAGTTGTCTTGTTGTACACAATGTTCAGTAGTATATATAATAATCATTTTATAATTGAAATCTTGACATAAACATATTTAAAAGTTAAAATGACATGATGAATATGAGGTATAGCTCTATTGGTTAAGAACAGTTCATGTACGACGCCAGATGATGTTAATGTTGATTCATAATGGTTTCAAAAAAGCTTGGCTGACTGATAATTATGCTAATAAACACATAACCCTGGCTGTCACATGTTACAATCGTAAACAAAATCTCAGCAAACTTTTGCCATAAACATAAAGTAGTTTTAAAATTCAAAAGGAGTAAAGATCTTTTTATAAAGTCTAAACATGCTCAATGATTACAGTACAATAGAACTTACCTAAATGAAGTCATAATATTAAACGTCGCTCGATTTTGAAATAGAAATACAAACAATTCGTTATGTTGATGATGGCACAAAATATGTACAAAGATATAACGTAGATTGTTTAATCAGTTGCATTTTCATTGAAAACTTTTCAAGAACCTCAAACGATAATACTTTAAATACAGACGAACAAGTTTACAGTTTGAGTTTACATGACTGACTTTACCGATTCTCGGAAACATCCGGTGGAAACTATCGGTATTCGCCGATTATTATTCGATGTCTGTCGTGAAAATGGTTTGTGAAGTATTCAATGACGTAATGGGTTTTCCGACCCCAGGTTATCCCAATGAACTCCACAATAACATGAAACATTTCTGTTGTTGAAGAACAGTCTGTTAAATATAAATGCTACTGTTTGTAGTCTTTTTATACAGCATATGAGTCTGATGCAATCTTTAATTTAGCAAAGAGTTAAATTTATGGGTTGAGGAATGACACAACTTCTGTATGTGTTTATTGATCAAACAGGGGTGTGTTTGGAGGGGGCTCAGCCCCGTTTGTTCAAATTCTATGCCTTGTATTGCCAGTGAAATATATATATCAAAAAGCTAGCAGCACCTAATTATATATCAGAAAGCCCACCAATATTTTAATATATATGAGAAACACAGCAACAGTTGTAATATACATTAAAAAGTCCAAATAGCTGAAATTATGGAGATATGCCTCTGTGATCTTATAAACCAAAACCTACAATTAAAATATCATCGACAAGTCTAGAAAAGAAGTAATGTTCTACTTTGAGCTACAGAAGTAGGGTACATTCGTAGAATTCATTACCAAAAATATATTGTACTCAGCTGTTTCAGTGAATATCCTAATTATAATTACTTCTTTTTTAAATGATGAACTAAAAATACAAAATACAACATGGAAAATCGTAAGAGTTTCTGTGATTTGGTGAAGTTGTTTTAGTATGGAAGTGGCTGAGAATTGAGAGGCTTGTAGATTGACCTATTTCAGAACATAATGAGAAATCATCTTCGATTTAAAAACAAGCTTTGTAGTAAGAAAACTATTGAAACTGCATCAGCACGAACTTTGCAATGTTATTTGGCCCAAAAAGGGTTCTCTACTTGAGTCAGTTAATTGAACCTTATATCGAAAGCAGTTGAGCACAACAATCACCATACGCAATCAGATTTCGTAAGTTCGACGTAAAGGCATTTCTTTCATTTTTTTCGTAATCCTCGATTCTTGTGATATTTAATGACATTTAGTAGCCGTCAACAATCAGTTATTACAAACTTATCCATAAAAAAACGCAATATTATCTCAAAATACTGTATTACTAGCAGCAATTGCTATATAAACACAAGCTCAAATTTCAAAACTAGGAACCAAAATAGCGGAAATTGATCAGGTGATCAATATTGCCCAATCAAACGGATAACAATAGATGTCCCAACTCTTAAAAATAGAGGGCTCTGAGGTAATCAAATAGATAAGTGGGCGTTTTAAAAATAGAAAATACGACATCGAAAAGTACATTTGTTCTAATTAGTTAATATTTCAATTATCATTATGTTCACGGCGAACTTGTACAAATTATAGATATTTATAGTTCATCAGGAATTGAAGAAAAATTTAAATCATACAATTCAATAAGAAGTTCCCAATATAAAAGTACGAGTAAAAATATTAAATATTCAGTCTGACTTTCTGCTCCAGGTTCCATCTTTTGATCCTCTGCAACGCTCTCTGGAATGTTTTTGTGAACGGGAATTTTTTTTTTCGTCTTGATGTACTTTCTTCAAGCTCTAGAGATTTTCTTCTATATCTTTATTCTCGTCCGTATTTGATTAGAGTTAGCTCTGGATTTTTTCACCGTTTTCGCTCCTTTCCTTACTTTGTATAAAATCGAATGTAAATACAGTTGACCAACTTTAACAACTTAAATCATTCATTCTGCCACAGCTACATGACACACCAGTGCAATGCAACAACCACGATGACTGCCATTCCACAATGTTGAACAACAACGGAACAAGATATGTTTGTTTACTTTATAACGGAACAAGACGCAGCATGGTGTATTTAGGAAACTTTTTTCTTTTTTTCTTTTTTTTTCACCCATGCAAAATACCCATAATGCAACAGTCACTTCATCTGATATGCTTCCTCTGCAAGGGGAAGTCCCTTAACATACCCAGCATGTGAATGTAGGGCAGTGCATCATAAGATCTGCGGACAGAGCGTATTAAGGGAAGAAACAATATAATTTTTTTAGAGGAAAATTACAGAAAACTCTGTCACAAAAAAATCTTCAGTGTAGCCTGCCCTGGGTAAGCAAAACTCCTACTTGACTAAATTGACTATGCAATTTTCTTCTGTCGCGTGTAATGCCCGTTTCGTGTTTGTCAAGAAATTATAAATATTGAACTTTGCTTTAGAAATTAGAATACACAAGCCATGAGCCACCAGCTCAATAAAACGTGTTTTCCAGGGAATATAATAACGAGATAATCATTGTCTCCAAAGAATACGTTCTTACAAGTTAGTGTGCTACAAATATGGTTGATATTCACAGACAAGGAAAGTGAACTTCGTCGCTAAAATTTAACATGGTAAAATTTTCTATAGGCAAAAATATCTCATAAGACATTTTACGTACTTTGAAGATCAGCTACATAGCATTCAGCAACCTTTTCTTTACTTAACACTTCACAGTTAATTTTCGCAGTGAGCAGTGGACAAGAGCCTAAAATGCGAAATATTATGGCACGGAAGATTAAAATCATGATTTACAATCAAACGGCCAATTTTACGTCTAGCGGTCAATGTTATAAAAATTGCGCGTCATAATTAACTTGTTTAGAGATTAACTATTTAGGAATGAAACAATCTGATGACAGCAATAATCACTTAACAATTATCTCGTTATTAAAAGGTTAAAAGCTGTGAAATAAAACGATTTGAAATGGATAAGTTATTCTGAAACATAGCCTATAGAACAATGACTTTAAAATTCAAAAATTTCAATAAACCTTCCACTCACTGTCTCAAAGAGATGTGAAATTGAGTGTGTGATGAGTAGAGTGTGGAAGGTTTATTGCAATTTTTATATTTCAAGATCATTGTTGTAAAGGCTGTGTTTCAGATTAACTTATCCATTTAAGATTATGATCTTGTGGTGCTTATCACTAAACTAAAATATCGTTTAGTTCTTAATTATTATTTATCAAGTATCATTTAGTGTCATTTAATGGTCAAAATAAAGAACAAAGTATAAAGAACGAGGCATATTATATAAGTAGATAGTGAGTGGACGGGTATTCTATAACATAGCATTATGATCTTGTGGTGTTGATTACTTTGGTAGTTGTGGTTCGTATGGCATAGTAAAAAAGTGTCAAATATGAATATAATAATGTATAAAAAGTCATAGCCACCTCTTGTACTTAAGGAAGTTTGTCACAAATAGAAGATTAACAATCTAGTGAATATTGCGATAACGCGACTTCCGTATGCGCTCGAAAATCTCGTACACTTGCACAGTTTTGCGAACGTAACATTTACGTTATAATAAATAAAGTTGCCTTCAAAAAAAATAAAAAGCATTGTCGTTAACTGATAGAATATAACTTCTACGTATTTGAAAATTTTCGCAGTAAAAGCAAAAGCAGGGCGCAAATTCAGTAAATTTATGAATATTTTGCACAAACCTTATAAGATCAAGCACAGAATGTATTGTTTCAACTTTTTCTTCGTTCGGTTCTGGTTCTTTCACGTTAACATTCCAGGTTAAATGCAAATAAACAAATTACTCCCCAAACATTGTAGTCATAAGACAATACAGCAATGTTCTTCTTCACAATTTTCCGCTCCGTTTTGACTCCAATTCAGCGACTGCCAAAAGCAAGCTGGATACAATCAAAGGAAGAACCAAAAGTCTTAATGCTCTCACCCAAATCTCACCAAGAAACCGCACGTACATTGCATATTCCTTCGGTGTTGGATCTATGGACGACTGAACATTGCCATGCAATAAAGAACCGAGTAAAAATCCACAAAGTACGCCGAATAAAATGAAAAATAATATCATATGTTGTTTTGCGTGTTTTAATCCATTGTAGCAACGCTTTCTTGAAGTCATTGTTGAAATTTTGTAGCTCTGAATACAATTCAAAGCAACAAATAAACACTGAATCTCAACTTCACAATAACAAACCCACAAATATACCGCGCCATTGACTATATATAAATATTCAATAGGATTAAATCACGTGTTATGCAGTAACATATTGCTGATTTGCCTTTAATACTAGAAACATTTGTGATTTGTGTAGTTGTACAAAGAGCAAACCAGTGTTGTTTTGCAAATTTTTTAAGTAAGAAAACTGAGCACTCTAAAGGCATCATCAACAAGCTGTAAGTACAATGCTAACAGAATGAATACTAAAGAACAAAAATTCCAATTTTTTTAATATTTATCATGACATCATACAAAAGCCAAATCAAATTATCTAATCTACAACAAGCAGTAAATAGTTCGTTTCCAAACTTGAGTATATCTCGATGTTCAGGTATAAATAGTAAAAAAATAATCATAGTCTACAATGATCTACTGTTGGTTCTAGATATAAGTATACAATAAAATATTTTATATCAACTGTTCTTGGGTATAACACAGGTCGGTTATAAGATTAAAGGTTGCTGAGATTTACAACGACTCACAACTGAAATTGACGTCATCTTTACTGCCAATCTCATTTCCTTTTTGGTTCAGTTCATGAGCTTTAAGAAAAATCACGCCTAAAATTGATGATGGATGCCCAATTAGCTTGGCCAATTCTTGTTTCTTTATGCAAATTTGTTGAACACCTTGAGATAATGTGTTGTTTTCAATAGAACCATTTAGGGAAACAGGCCCTCTGATGTAATCACATTGTCTTATGTGTGAGAACAAATTCTTAGGTAAATTACCAATACCATGGCTACTTGAGCGAAAATACTCAACAATCAATTTCCAATCTTCTTCTTTTTCAGCACTGGATAAATCAATTCCTTTAAACTTGCTCAGTTTTTGAGGACTCACATCAAACATGATAATAGCTGGATGTGTACTGCTCAATCCACATTGCTCTAATGAGAACTTTGCATTATTTACCATGTAGAAACCTTCTCCATCAGAGAAGTCTGATTTCTTTCGACCAAAACCCAGCACAATTCCAATTTCCAGAATATCCACAGCACTTTTGTGATCAGTACAATGGAAATATACTTCTGTCACAGGATTATTTTCATTTATTTCAGCAACTTTTGATCCAACATGGTGTAGAGCATCTTCTTGCGATTCAACATTGATCATATTTATAGGATGACTATGTCTTCCCTCTTCATCTAAACGTGGGATATTCACAGTAAACCATTCATTTTGATTATCATTTTTGAAAGGAAAATCGAAACTTGATCATTTAAGAAGATATCATACTTAAAATGATCTTCAATGTAAGTTTCCACCCAGGATAAAATTGGTTTGTGATTCGGATCTGGCATGCTGGTTATCCACTTAGCAATAAATTCAGATCGATGCTTTGTAAAACCAATCTTGCACAAGATTTTAGCAACCTTTTCACTATCTCTGAGATCTTTTAAGCTGTCTTCTTCCTTAAACTCCTTTAAAAATCTTAGCAAATGTACCTTTTCACTTTTGTGTTTTCTCATGTAAGGAGTTTGTTCGAGAAGCCTGCAAGCAAACTCATTTTTCAAACCAAGCACTGAGCACAGAACATCTTCTGGGGTGATTTCCAAGTCAAAGAGATCATTTATCTCAGGATGGTTTAGATTGGAAATGGCACTTTCTATACTACTCAAAGCATTATCAAGATTAAATTCATACACATACTCAATTGTAATTTCTTGCTTAAAGCCACAAAAATTGTTGTAGATCAGATTTATTACATCGAGAAGCTTGGTTAACTTGTAGAGATCTACCTTTAGATCATTCAGTTGATTTATCTTTTCATAAGTGAGTTTGCCTTTATCAGACAATAATGTCTTTACCTTGTCCAACAAGATACAACAAAATACAAGACACTGATGAAGAACACAAAATGAGCGAATTAAGTGGCGGTCAGTTTTACCAGCACTTTCATGTCTGTCTAGGGTACGCAATTGGGAACGCCAGTCGCCAAGAACAGTCACATATTTCTCAACATCTTCATTGTTTTTAGTAGTTCGCTTTTCCTTGATTTTAAAACGTTCAAGTTTCCCAATGATTGGATATTTATTCATCCTAAAAGCCTGGAGGAAGAACGGATAAAGAAAACATGAAGTCACACTTAAACATATGACACAAATCGATATTTAAAGTGCTCACAAAAACCGCGTGCTCTCAAATATACTCGTCTTTGAACGTTTATTTATAAGAATCAAAATGCTTAGAACAGAAGTGTAAAATGCTTTCATGAAAATAGTACATTATAAACTTACGTTGGAAAATTTCCACGCTATAGAAGTATGCCAGGGCAGCAAAGATGAAAGGACAGATTAAATATAAAACTTTATCACATTTACCATTACTCAAATAATGATTGCCTTACACTGCATTGCAGCCAATCAGGTTGTGCTGCTTCAGGCGTCATCAGGCGTCATAAAATAAACACAATGCGGTGCGGTGATTGGTCAAGAGCTTGAATAAGTCTCACTCGACACGAGGAAAATACATTAAACAATTTATCAAATCATTCTGCATTTGTGTAGCAGTTTACAATATCTTCTCGTTGTTTTTAAATAACCAGAATTTACCATTATTATTTGGCTTGTTTTGAAATCAACTGCTTTAGTCTATTAGGAACACTTCGAGAGAAAACGGTGAACGGTTTGATGTTAAAAACACTGTTAAAACTGATTACATCAAAAATTATCATTCCATTCAAAGTTAATGACATAAATAAAAAAATAAATACAGTATATCTTTACGTACAAAAGTTTAAAGTACGGTTACTGATTATGGTTCATTAATTAATTGTCAATTAGCTACACAAGATGTAAACAAATATGTTCTTGAAAGTTTCCGTTTTTGAAACAAGATGCGTTTTCAAGTGTTTACATTTTACACTATTATATAGTGAATGGTTCTTTTTACTATAATATAGTGAATGGTTCTTTCTATATATTATCACTTACGGCATTTTACATACGCCAAATGCATTCAAGACACAAAAAAATTAGATAAATTCCTTGCTATCTTTTGTTTTAAATGCATTCGGCTCATGTAAAATGCAAAGTTTGAAAAACGGACCTGAAAATTGGCAACTAATACATTCTGATTTAAACTTCTTCTTGTGTTGACTGAGCATTCAACACAAAATCATCCAGCGCTTCCATCGTATATCCATGTTCTCTTATCAAATCCAAAACATGAGGTAAAAAATTGAATTCTTCAACTAGAGTCTCTTGTATGGAACGACGTCTCCTACAATTTTCTACTCCTGCCGTCACTTCACCAAGACGATCTTGAACATTTTGTTCACCATTGCTTACCTCATGTTCCCCATGTTCCAACCTTCTCTTGTTGTTGGATTTTTTGCTAAGCTTGCGACCCATGTCTATGCTGGTATAAAATGAAGTTAAAAAGTCTTTATTCACGGAACTTTTCCCTGCAAGATTTTAAAAGTTAATTGATAATGTTTAAAATTTGATTTCAATCTTACAGACAACCAAAGTATTGATACACGATCGCGTAAGAAGTATAGGAAAGAGGGATTCTGAGACTATTGGCGCGGGTAGTTTTTTTAATTCGTTGTGCTATTTGGCAATTATTAAAACTAGAAGTTGCTATCGCAAGGGGGGGGGGGAGTGCTGCCCCGACCCCTTGTCCGGAAAAAAATTTGCAGGGCTCAGCCGTGGTCACAGCCATTGGAACCACCTCCGTGTACAGCATTCTAGTTGGTTTCATACATACGTTATGATTGGGTGATTAGAATGATAGACAAAGAAATTTTACATGCGTGTCTCTTTAACTTTTAGCTTTGCGTTGGCAAGGTTTATTTTGTCATATTTAGAGTTTTCTTTCTATCTGAAGGCCGGTTTACACGTTCCGATTTGTCAGATCCTATTGTTTTGGTTCCGTATTTTGATTGCTTGTTCAGACGGTCAGATAGTTTTGTTGATATTTAGATACGTTTAGATATTTATAATCTTGAGAGCAGCCATTTGTGTTGTTCAGTAATTTATCGATATATTTGCGTACTTTTCTTCTTGTTTCCAAGTCTTTCAAATATATATAATTTGTTTAGTCGGCTTCCTCTGATCTTGTCGGTGAGATGAGAATAGAACAAGTTCTATTTCTATCCTCATTTTTAGATTCACGGATCCGACTGTCGGAGACTAACTTTATATGTGCTCACACGATCCGTTTTTAGGATCCAACAAAATCGGATTCGACAAATCGGATCGAGTGAACGGGCCTTAATCAAACGTGCCATACCTTATTTGAAATACATTTAAACAAAGGCACGCGTTCTGAAAGTCGACGGTTGATTTCCGGCAAAAAATAGCTCCCGTGCTTTTCATCTTATTTCATTTCACGTTTCAAACAATTTTAAAGATAAATTCATTACCATTTGATTGTGATTGTGCGCTCCCCCTCATTCCGTAAAGCCCGCCGCACACTGGTGAACTTGCCGCGCGTACTTGTTATTCGTGACAAGTGTGATCGACAGAATTTCCTTGTGTGCGCGGAAGTTTTGAACAACATTTGTCATTCGTGACAGATCAAACGCGTTTGATATTCGACTCATCTCTCACGAATGACAAGTACGCACGGCAAGTTCATCAGTGTGCGGCGGGCTTAACAGACAGACACAAATGTTCGCTTTTGCACGTAACTCTCCCAAGAAAATAACGTTTATACAAAATCTATTTTCATGATTTAATATTATTACTTGATGAAAAAAAATGTCACACAGGCGCAGAATAAGGTTGATATAAACTTTAAAGTTTAATAACTCTATTCGATTTGATTAACCATTAAATTTTTTAGGAAAAAAATGCACCTGAAATAAGGAAAAACAAAATTTAGGTCGAGTAAAAAGTTTATGCATTACAAAATGTGTTTCGATCATGTTTCAAACTAATAAATAAGTCAGACTTACCTGTTCTCCTGAAACCAAGTTAACCACAAAAAGGAAAGTGTAGGAATTAAAAATTATTTCAATTCGTTGACTATCTTGCTGGTTTTTAAGTACCTTACTCGTGCCGCTTTATACTAAGGGGTAATAATACACAACTACCACACAATAATGGCCCTCCATCATTTACATCGGAGTCTAAAACCAATCAGAATGCGTTTCTTTCATAATAATCAAGCGACAAATCTTCTGCAAACCTGCACATTTTTCTCGTGATGTTAATATGATTGAAGTTCCTGAAACAGCAACTTAAATCGCCATAAACGGCGACTAAAAAAAACGCGATAAAATATCAAAAATTTTTGATATTTATTCGCGTTAATCGCCAAAATGAAATCATCTTGAATGAAAATTTAGGAATTTAAAATGGCGGCTTCAATATGTGTTCAATTACATAATGCAGAAACTATTAAATTTGATGAAAAGTTGGCTGAGGAAGTGCGTAAGTTTCCATGCTTATATGACACAACATATAAGGATTATAAAGACAAGTTTGTCGTTCCATATTTGGCAGAAAAGTGGCAGAAATATGGCAGAAAATCTGAATCTATTGGAAGGTAAAACAATGTAAACTAAATATAGGTGTGCTTGAGTGGCGGATTTCAAAATTGTAGAGACTGCGGATGTAGAGACTGCAGTCTGCTATAAAATATACAGCTTTCAATTTATCAAAATTTTTTTCTAAATTTTTTATGTCCACTCTAAAACTAACACTAATTAGATTTTTTTTATGTCAAAAATTCAGCAAAAAAAAGATTCAGCAAGCGAAGAAATGACTTTAAAAAAGTAAATAAAACTGGAACATCTCTGTCAGCTGTTGTTTCCTCTAAAACAAAATTGGAGAACTATAATTTTCTACAGTGGTTGGTACATAAAGTGTGGAGCAACAAAAACTAATTTGTCAGTATGAACTACCAGAAGCAGCTCGACAAGTAATTGTAGTTTGTTAACCGATGATAAAATTAACCATGTCAGCTTACTAAATAAAGACTATGATACCAGCAGCAGCTCAACAAGTAATTGTAGTTTGTTAACAGATGATGAAATTGAGCCTGTCAACTTACTAAATGAAGACAATGGCTGTCAACGAATAAAGCCAGATGAAGTAATTGATAAGATTAATGATATATCTGATACAACTGGACATAACGAAACGTTATTATTAAAAAACCTTTTATCTTTCTTTATTTTATTATTGTGATGGCTTTTTAAAAGTCTTATGATGGGTTATTATGTTCATATTGAAAATTCGCTTTCCGCCTGGCAAATCTCAGGCCACGATTTTGAATAAACGCTACAATAACGGAGCACTCGAAGCGTTCAGGAAATTCCAGCGTCTTGAACTCAAGCTTGGAAGAGCCAAACTCGACCTAGAGTTCCTTATAACGTGTAAGAAGCGCACAATAATACCACAATTCCTATGGTTTAAAGTTGCTCATCGCAGATTGCGATCTTCTAGCGCCTATCGACAATGTCAACATAAGTTGTTACAAGAAGAAATAAACACAAAGCCCGCTCGGATACGAGTACTATCATCACAAGCTACGACCGCACATTCCAGACTGAATATATGCTTGTATTTAAAACCTCATGTATGTAATTTATCTCAAATAATCTGAAGATGTCTTAAGTTAAAGACGAAACGTTATTAATAAATCTTTCTTCATTTTACTATTGTGATGGCTTTTTTAAAAGTCTTATGTTGGGCTATTATGTTCATATTGAAAATTCGCTTTCCGCGATCGTCATATTTTAGGTTTACACATACACTAAACGAACGCAAGTCATGATCATCTTAGAAACGTTGGAAACTTTGTAAACTATATAAGATATGATTATTGTTTATGAATCTACAACAACCAGTAAATGGTTTGTGACCTTGACAATATTTAGGTGTATGCTCAATATATGACATAAAATTTACAACTTCACTTGACAATATTTTGGTGTATGCTCAATATATGACATAAAATTTACAACTTCACTTGACAATATTTAGGTGTATGCTCAATATATGACATAAAATTTACAACTTCCTCATTCCGCCGATTCCGTGCTGGGAATATCTGGGAATATCTAATTCCGTTCACAAAACGAAAGTGATTTCCTTGAAACTATTGCTTGCATTTGTGTCGAAAGAATAATATGCGATGAATTTGAGAAACACTGGGACTTTTGTAGACGTTGACATAATAGTTTTTAAAGCTGTATAGTTTATGCTGTTGACACCAAAGACACAAAGAAAAATTTATACAAATTAATGAAAAATTCGCCACAACATGGTAATGTGCATTTTGAGTTCAGCCAATATTTATTACAGTTGTGTTTACTCGTTTTTTCGCCAATAGCAACAAGTTTTTATGTCGACGTCACCGAAATACATAAA